TTCTGAACTTTCCTTGAGTCTTCACCCTTAAAAGGCAGCAGCATACTTGAATTCTGAGTATTTTCAGATATGTGAGGCGGATGGTATGGCCCAGTGACATTCCTCTCAGTGGCTTGGAAACTCTGCGTGGCCCTTTGACATGTCATTTGTGGCTCTTCTGAGCTCTGTTCTTCAATGTGGCACCTCCCCCATATTTCAGGAAAAGTGTGCAAGGTCATTGTCTAGCGGAGCTTGTGGCTGGCAGACAATTCCCACCTTGAAGAGGCTGCCATCAGATGAACGCATAAGCTGATAGCCTCCTTGAGGTGCGGACCTCGCGGAAGGGAATGTGGCTCTTCTGGTGGGTGGCAACTGCAGTGTGGCCGTCTGTGAGTTACAAAGTGAGCACCGCTGGTAGAGCACTTTTTATTTTGCCATCAAGTCACAGCTGACGGCGAACAACGCTCCCTCTAAGCTGTGGAGTCTTGTGAGCAAAAGTTCTACTTTGTGAGCCACTGGCATTAACGTTGTGAGCGGGCGATTTGGCTGCTGCATAAGTCAGTTTGCTCTGGAGCCCTCCTTCCTGAGCCGAGACAACGATGTGTGAGCTGAAAGCTAAAACAACTGTGAGCTAGCTGACGGTAACTCAGCTTAGAGGGAACACCGACCCTGTAGGGTGTTCAAGGCAAGAGGCTTTCAAAGGTGGTTTGCCATTGCCTGCCTCTGCATAGCGACGCTGAACTTCCAGATACTAGCCAAGGTTAGGGCTAGCTTCCGAGTTCTGACCAGATCAGGCCTGGCATGGGGTATCTAGGTCAGGACCGTGTAGCACTAGTGGCTAAGTAAAGGGTAAAGGTCTCCCTTGCTCGAAAGCCAGTCGAGTCCGACTCTAGGGTTGCGGTGCTCATCTCCGTTTCCAAACCGAAGAGCCAGCGCTGTCCGAAGACGTTTCCGTGGTCGTGTGGCCGGCATGACTAAACACCGAGGCGCGCGGAACGCTGTTCCCTTCCCACCGAAGTGGTGCCTATTTATCTACTTGCAATTTCTTGCTTTCGAACTGCTAGGTTGGCAGGAGAGTGGCTAAGTACTGGCACCTAAAAGGAGGGGCTTGTATTCCCATGAGTACTTTCAACCCGTAAGAAGCAAGAGAAAATGGAACAAATTTTTGGCCATGGTAGGGGTGATGTCCTGATTTCTTGGCAGTTGCCAGTAATACTTGACCAGTCCTGTCAGACTAGATCCGTCTTCACTGCTTTTCAGTAACCTCCATTTCTACTCCATTTTTCTGCCCTCCAGGGAAGATGTGTTACAGTCGCTTCTGTGTCTCAAGTATAAGAAGCTGCTGAAAAAGAGAGGGGGGAGAAAAGGCAAAGCAAGGGATTTCTTAAGAGAGGGTAGGCAGGGAGTGAGGAAAAGCCCTTGCCCTTTTCCAGACGTTTGGGGGAGGGGCTGTGGCTCAGTGGAAGAGCCTCTGCTTTGCACGCAGAAGGTCCCAGGCTCAATCCCCGGCATCTCCAGTCAAAAGGACCGGGCAGTGAGGTGATGTGAAAGACCTCTGCCTGAGACCCTGGAGAGCCACTGACTGCCAGTCTGAGTAGGCAATACTGACCTTGATGGACTGATGGTCTGATATAGTATAAAGGTTAGGGTTAGGGTTAGCTTTTAACTTATGGAATATTTAATTGGAAACATTTGGCTATACAATCTTAGGAGAATACAAGGGGTGGACCCGCGATACTCGCGGGACGGAGGCAGAGGAAGCAGCAGGAGGAGGTAAGTACCCCCCCATCCCGCTGTTTCCCCGTGTCCTCCACCCCCTTGCCTTCCCCCCCTTGCCTCTCCCCCCCGCGCCTGGCTCCGAACCGAGGCACGGGAGGCTGCAACCGCCCGGGCCTCACTGTTCCCCCCGCCCTGCTCCGTAGCGAGGCCTCGGGAGGCTTTAGCCGGCCGGGCCTCGCTGTTTCCCCCACCACCCCGCGCCGCCCTGCTGCGAACTGAGGCCCGGGAGGT